ATCCCTGTCGGTTGTTTGGGGGTCATCCTTCTGCTCGGAGGCTTATGGGGGGGAGGGATCTGGCCATCCACGGCAGCAGGCTGCGACAAGCTCCTGATCACTATTGTTCTATTAATAGCGGCCGGATTAATAGGATGATTTTTTCTGGATGAATCTGACCCGATTTCCACCACCTTGACGTGGATGTACCGGGACGGCAATCTCGTCTACAGCTCGGTCCAAAAATAAGTCCTCCTTTTGCGAGAGTGTCACGGCTGACACGGCCTACTCACACCAATAGCCCTTTCTGCTCCTACAAGGAAATTTTATTCTAGTTAGTACAGAAAGGCTGAACAGATAAAAGCGAATTCTCCTTTTCGGCAGTCAAGACCACCCTTCTTCTTCTTCTTCTTCTTCTTCTTCTTCTTCTTCTTCTTCTTCTTCTTCTTCTTCTTCTTCTTCCTCCTCCTCCTCCTCCTCCCCCTTCTTCTTCTTCTTCTTCTTCTTCTTCTTCTTCTTCTTCTTCTTCTTCACCTTTTGGCTTATGAAAGGGTTGGCTGGGGGGAGAAAAAAGGAAAAGACCACCATTGATCGAAGTAGACGACCGGCACCGTTCTTTTTTTCGGGTATTCACTCGAGGAAGGAAATTCTATTCCAGTGAGTACTAGGGAAAGCTTGGAATAAGAAAAGGGGGAATTCTCCTATTTCCAGCAATCAATCATGAGAGCGGAAAGACGTAAGCTGAGCATTGTTGTCTTGGCTATGGCAAGCATCCTCATGATCGGAGGGATCTGTGAGGGAGGGATATGGCCGGAGAAGGCAGCAGCTTGCGAAAGATTTCTTATCACCATGATTCTATTTATAGCATCAGCACTGTTTTTGACAGCCGTCTCCCTTCGTCTTCCTCCAGACAATGGAGTCCGTCGGATTGTCGCCGTGTACGTCCTCTTCTATCTCCTCTCCATCCTGTCGATAGCCGTTGCCATCTTCGGCCTGGTCGTGTCGAGCCGCGGAGGGCGTGGACACGAAGTCCAAGGGAAGGGATACACGGAGTTCCAGCTGGGGAATCACTCCAACTGGTGGAGGGACAGAGTTCGGGACCCTGGGACATGGGAGACGATAAAGAGCTGCCTCATGAAGCGGGATGAGTGCAGCAAATTGTACAGTCAGCCACCTGATTGGAAGACGAACCTGGTCATGTTAAACGGACTGCAGTCCGGCTGTTGCAAACCGCCGGATGTCTGCGGTTTCGCCGAGATCAGTCGGACGCGATCCGTCTACAACAAGCCAGGGTATAAGTCGGCGATCTTCGACGGAGACAAGGATTGCATGCGTTTTGTGAACGAGGAGGAGAAGTGCTTCAACTGCGACTCCCGTAAAGCTGCTTTCTTGGATACCATGAGGAGTAGCTGGCGCACAATGTCAATCATCAGCTTTGTGGTTGGCTTACTTCTCCTTCTAACTGGGAGCGCGGAATTGGGATGCTTTGACGATGAACTCCGGGCTTCCAAAATTTGGAATTGCAATTGATCACCGGATCATCTCAAAGAGGGTCACCGTGCCAACGGTCCTACCTCAGTTCGTGCGCATATCATCAACTGTGCAAATACAGACGTGAGTTCGAATCCAGCTGGAAGCCTGGAAGTAGTTGGATGAATTGCCGAATTACTTGGGGAAGGTCAGTTCCATGATGACACCGCATCGACACCTAAAGGCGGTCGCCTCTGTGTGTGTGTGTGTGTGTGTGTGTGTGTGTGTGTGTGTGTG